GCACACTGATCAGACATAGCAGTGGTGTGATGGCGAGGAAGAGTTTGAGGGCCCACACTGAGTTAGGGTGTTTTTATATACCGCACATTGGTAAAAAGACAAATCTTTGCTGACGGAGGTAAAATCCACTGAGAGTGCCGATGTGCAGTAAATATAAGCTGCTTTCAAACCCAGATCCACAATGGGCCGCTCCGCATAACATCTTTTCAGTAAATTTTCAAGAAATACGTACGAAGATGTCATTAAATGTGGTCAGCACTTCGTTAAAATGGCCGCAGGAGCAAGCCCCGGGCATCCTTTGTCAATTTAAAGGTGTAAAACTCGCCTTAGGATGACTAAATACTGGTAAGATGAGTCAATATCTCAGCGACTTCACGGATACGTCGGGGCAAGTAATCGACGCGTCGGGCAAGCGGCCGCCAAGATGACTCAGGAACTCACTGGCGAAAACACCTCCGAGGTTACTGGCGAGTGAATTAGTATGTTTTCAGGCTTAATAACACGTGAAAGAGGACAAAAAGGCATTACAAGACGTGGAGTGGATGCAAGTGGGTCAAGCAAGAGACGCGTAGGATCATGTGACAATTTAATGATCAACTCATTTTCGCGATCGGATAAATACTCTCTTCGTTGCAACTATGTCACCCAACTGCACCCCCGATGGCTGACCTACCACTCTCTGCGTTCTACTCTGTTGGATTTCAAGCCCTTGTTGCATACACCTGCGATAATGCTGTATGTATCCGATGTTACCTTGTAGTACTTGGTTTGGAAACTGAAGTTCATTGCCAGGGGCCAACCCGCTGGCCGCAATGGGTCCCCATTGAGCGGTGGAGTCGTGTAATGCCGTTGGAATTACGCTCCCGTATCTGCACGTTGCTTGAATTAATTAACACCGTCAATTCGGACACCTACCGATTGGACAACCTTTACGTGGTTCAATTCCCGCATCCCGGCGGACTTTTTGTTGCCTTCAAAGGGTGTAGTCCCGAGCCTCTCGAGGTCAGTTCAGCTCTTGGATATTTTTGGGATACCTTCGAAGGCTAACATGAATTATTTAGGAGGTCATAGATACATTAATTCACCGACTAACCCAGAATGCTCGAGAGGCAGCTGAGTGCGCCAAAATCCCAAGATCACCCCGTCAACAGTGCCTATGGTCCCAGGGATTTTGTCTAACTTGTTCAAAGTGGGGGTCAGCACACAATATAGATTTAGACTATGATTCAGATGACCTGCCCGATCTCATATAATAGTATTATTCCTCACAAGTTCAACTGGCCACGGGGGTATTTTCTCCAGGTTCGGACCGGTTCGAACCGGTTTGCCTAGGTTCATAAGATTTTCAAATTTTCTGAACCTTGAACTGGACCCCGGGTTCGGTTCAGCGAACCGCACAGCCACTGAACCTGAACCTGGGTCCGGTTCAGGTCCGGTTCAGGTTCGCAATCAGTTCTGAACCTGACCGCGGCAACACTAGTTGTGGGCGACGCCGTATATTGTATGGTTATCGAGACAGGTGTAGACGAAGGTCTTCTTGACCCCGAGAATGGTGCATATCTCGCCTACAGACTTGTCCTGCTGGAAGAAGAGGACAGGCACGCGTGCCTTGAGGTCGTGAGAAATGGTTCGAGTAGGCATTCGAGTTGGATTCAACCAAGCGGTCACGCGGGGTCCCAAACAAACAACCCCCAACGGTTCAAAAAATGTTTTGATTTTCCGCATACATCTGAATAGCGCTGTAAGCAGGGTTATTTTCTCCGGTAAACGCGCCAGACAAAAAACGAGTGGATCCAGGACAGAGGAGGGCGGCCCGTACACTCGAGCTCAAGGGTTGCGCGACGAACAGAGCACGAAGAATCCCGCTGTTGCCGCTGTCTTTTTTTTACTGCAGCAAAATAACGATCAGCGGTTAGCCGCCGGGCCGGTTCCTCTTGCCTCTTGCGGTCACCGCCTTCCAACCGCCTTCGCTCGCTGGCCGGGAAATCGAGTTAGTCACACATACCCAACTCCTTCGGTGTACTTTAGAGTGTCTTCTTGTTTCCCTTGACCCTCAGGTTGTTCTTCAGCTTTCTCGACGCACCATTCAACACGTTTCTGGTTCTCTGCGACTTGATCCACGCAAAATTGCGAACAGAGGACAACACGTGTGCTCGGCGCATGCCTATAATTTAGGTCTAATGCCATCCGAGTCTTCGTATTACGGCCTCAAACTCAATATTTTCCGGCCCAACTTCGACCCCGATTGTACCGAAACTTGTACGTTTTTTTTCCGTTCAGCTGGTCAATGGCTAATATCTGCGCTTGCTGGCTATGAAATCGAAGTATTCAAACGTACACAACCTCTTCTCAAAGTCCCTACAGAGTCTTGCTCGTGTATTTTTCTTGGGTCTCAGGTGTTCTTCGGTGTTCTTGGGCGCGTTCGGGTCCAGGTTTTCCATGCTCTACGACTTCACTAGGGCGGAACTGTAAGAATGACAGTCCGTACTCCACTCCCACCTTCGCCTGCAATTTGGCACTAACTATCCAACAAATTCACTCAATCATCCATCTCTCCTCCGCCAACGACAATCGTTCCCTTTCACCCACTCCAATCAAGCCGAGGTTCAAATTCAACCCCGCTATGATCATTTCAAATGTTCTCCTTCCCTCCCTCTTTCCGTTTCTGCTCCTGTCAGCGAGTCCAAAAACTTACGAGGTGCTTCTCCATGCGGACGTTGGGAGTCGAACCCAAGAACTGCTTATAACGTTGGGAAATCGACAACGGAAGGCAGCCGTGCACCGTGCACTACATCCGCTTGTTTGCTTGCTTCGTACTTAGACCTGGTCAGCTTCCTCGCAAGAATCTATATGAAGTTTGATTAAGCAATCCTGGTCTCAACCGATAATCCTGTTTGATCACTGATTGGTTAGTCAGGTTGGCAGTGGGGGTGAGGAAGTGGAACGAGGGGATACTGGGTGATTTTGATTTCTTAATCACCCGATTTGCATGGATCACGTTCTGCTCAAGATGTGTTAAACCAAAAAACACTGTTTAATCACTGCTCAAGACATTGAACACAGAAAGTGAGCAAAGGGTGATTCGAACCCACGACCTCAAGGAAACAAAGCAGAAAGAGAGGAAGAGAGTATAACCACTACACCAGGCAAGCACTTCAGGCAGTGCAAATCTTTGAAACACAGCACACTGAGAACGACCCCTGTATGATTTCACTGAGCTGTGTGAGTAAAACCCTGTAAGAATTGTGAGTGCCCAATTGGCTCCCCGGCACAATGTGGGGGCCTGCAGTACAGATACCCCAAGCATTGGCTCTAATACTGATGCAATGTGTGCAAATAAATCACTAGACGGGAATACTAGAGTATCTGGCATGAACTTGAGCAGCGGAAATTGGGAAGACTATTTGCCATTCTTGTACCTACAACATAGCACACAATATGGAATATTCAGATTGATAAATTTTCAAAGAATCCGGTTACACAGAGGGGTTTTAAGGGGTATACAGCCACTGAGATTAAATGATTCAAGAAATGGGATAGGATAGCTTTTTAAGGCTGGAGTCCCACACTGGTTATGTGTGCATAATGGCATTTCCACCTGGAACAATTTCCCCGGCATTAACCACAACCTTCTAGTGGACCCAGCAGATGACTTTTGGAATGCTTCTGCAAACCTGATTTCATTATCCCAAATATTCCAAGAAAGAAAACAAGAAAGAATTATGAGTTTGAAAGGGGTAGACAGTGTAATGCGGACTGCGGTTCTGTGAACTGCCTGGGTATAGTCAAGTAGTGGTCACAGTGTTTAATATGTTGTGATGCGGACTGCGGTTCTGCGAACTGCCTGACCCGGGGTGGGTATAGTCAAGTAGTGTTTACAGAATTTAATTCGTCCTCTAGGAGGAAATTGCTCTGTCCCAGAGCTGCGTAGTTTTAAAGGTACGCTAATGTGCGATATATAATTTGTGGTGTGTGTGTGTGTACAGTCCTCTCCGTTTTGGATTGAATGCTTCGCCAGGTTCCTCAAAGATTTGGTTCTTCGTTGGGGGCTGGCCTTCCGAAGGTATCGCAGATGGATAGTTTTCTGCACTTGCTCGAAGGGTACGCTCCGCAATGTGAATGCTGTTTGGTTCTGGAGTACTCGGGTTATCTGTTATGCTTTATCCACCTGTCTCGAGGTCTCTTCAGTACAGTGTAACACTATACGGACAGCTATAGCAATTCCCTTCGTAGCCTAGTTTCTCTGTTGGTGAACACCTTGAAACGGACTCACTTCCGTTTCGAAGACTCGGGGGTGAAGTGTGCGAATTGAATGGGGGAAATGGTATGATCATGTAGAATAGGCCTTCCGTACACGATGTGGTGGGTTCCTCGCAAGGATGTGCGTTCGAACTCCGAAAAGGAACGGTTGCACAAAGCCAAGTGTGACTGGCCGTTTGGTGGTGTGCCGTGTAATCTACTACTGCGCGCTTTCGACTCCGGATTGACTATATTTCCTTCGTATCAATTTATCGAAACGGAGGTGAGACGGACAGGGTTTCTTGACAAGCCCTGGCCTTTTAGGTGACCTTGGTTTGTCCTACTATTGGGCGGCACAACCCATAGCAGAGTGTATTTTAATTTAGTTCCCCACCCTGGTGTACTTCAGAGGGAGTAGCTTTAGGTATATGCAGTGGGAGGTGATAAGATGATCATTCCGTATCGTACAGCTGGCTTTTATACGGTTCTCCGTCTGATACTCCCGCGCGTAATAACTCCTTGTTTAGGAAACGGAGCCCTCCTCCATTTGCATTCTGACTCGCCACGTGGATCTCCATGCGCTCCCTATGTTTGAAGGGGCTGACATTCGACTCGGACTTGCCTCGTGCCAACTCCATTTCCCGTTTGGTCACCCCGTTTCCCAAGAACCCACTCCATATGCCGGCCCGCCGTCGATCCGTCTCCATATTGAATTTGACTGACCTTCCATTCTACTTCTTCTTTCATTGCAGATTTATCACGGCCAGGTGGCGGAGTGGTAATGCATGCGAGACAGATACAGTACCTAATAATGTCCCCTCGCAAGGTCTCTGTTCAATTCGGAGTCTGGCCTTGGGTGCGAAAGTCGGGTTTTTATTTCTATCCAAGTCCGTATCATTTTTGTCCGTTTGTCGAGGCTCTCTGTCCTAATCACAGCCAGGTGGCGGAGTGGTAAGAAAAAGACCACAAGGCCAGGCCCCGAATCGAACGGAGACCTTGCAAGGAAACACTGTGGTGTCTGTATTCGTCTCGCAGAAGTGGGGTAATTGTCCTTTTCTTAGTTACGGACTTGCACTGCTTTTTTTCTCCCGTTTGGCTGCGTTCGGAGCACATCACAAAGTGACAGCTCACGACATCCTCTAGGGGAAATTGCTCTGTCGTGGAGATGCGTAGGTTTTCCAGCATGCTAATGTACAGTATATAAAGTGGTGGTGGTGGTGGTGATATTACAGTCCTCTCTGTATGGAGTGAACAAGCACCAGGTTCCTGATATTTTTTTGCTAGAACCTGGTGCTTTCTTCAGAGTATGTTTTACCGAGCCAAGGGCCAGCCCTCCATGGCCATATTTATCAACACAATTGGAACAGAAACTCAAGGATCGCACTCTTAAATTCGAGATAACGATGGCCTCTTCAAGACTGCAATCCCAATGCCTTGCAGTATCCATTATGATAGGTAGGACATCACCCTAATATCAATACAGATAGAAAATTATCTATTGGACACTAGAAAAAATATTAAATATCGGATTCTCAACAGTACACCTTGCAAGTAGAGATGTGCATTCAGGTTGATCGATTGAATTCCAATGAACCTCCCTATGACTTATTTTGGCCTTTGATCCTTTACTGGAGATGTCGGAAGTCCTTGGGTTACCTTCGCAAGGTAGGGTTCAACACAATGAAGGGTTACTAAGTGTTACCCATTTATCCGGCCTCATGTTCACCTTATTTTCAACCCTATCCTTCTCTGATACCATATGATACTTACAATGCTATACTTCTGTATTCAGACTTTTCCTTGTTGTCGAGTCCATATGCTTTTCAGTGATGTTATGTCCGTGCATCGGCTTACTCATTCGACCGACAAACTCGGCCGACCCGAGGAAACTCGGGAACTTTCCAAGACATCAGGAAGTGTTAAGATGGTGGGTATTTAACTTAGGCTTAAGGATCCCACAACTAAACCGACCCAGGTTTTATTAGATAGATGAGGATTTGGATGGTTAAGGGCAAAGCTAGTTTTCCTACCATCCACATCACTCAAAACTATATACTACATGATGAGATCTACTGATTGTAAAGAAGTGGAGATGCGGGAATGTATATGATGTCGGAGGACCGGTTCCCCGGTCTGCGCGGTCTCTTAACACCCTCCCCCACAGGACAAATCTCCAAGTCCTCCATGTCTGTCAGGTCGTAGATGCCATTCTGTGCAAACACGGCATGATATTGGAAGTAATTGACGCCGTGAATGTCCTCGTCCAGTGATAGTAACCATTGGTTCATGGACGGCGCGGCCGCGGATGCTTCACGCTTGGTTCCGCTGGATGGGGGGTCCGGGAGGAGTGCCGATTGACGTGAAGATCCTGCGATCGGCTGAGATGGGGGCTGGGTCTGGTGCGGCGTCTCAAATGGCAGATTGTTTCTGGCGGCACCACCCAGGGCCATCCCCATAAACGGGAGGAAAGACTGTATCCATGTCGGCGGCTCCTCCCCACGCCTCTCAATTATCTTCTTGGCTTTATGTTGTCGTGGCGCGGCATCTTCGATTTTGAGCTCGTCTGGAACGTCGGCAATGGTGGCAAGACCCTTGGACTGTGGAAATGTCAGTTACTATCGGTATCACTATATTGCTTGATAGACATACCACAAGTAACGCCCATTTGGAGAGATCATTCGGCGTGAAGTGATAGCATTTCCCGGTCGACAGAACAGTGCACGTCTTATCATGCTCGGCACAGTGATGCTTCTGCTCTATCTGACGGTAAAATTCCTTCTCTTTCGATGGTGCAGGGATGTCATCTGCGGCCGCTTTGCTTTTCTTGCCCTGCCATAGATCAGTCTCGGATGAAGGATCATTCTCGCTGTCAATGCTTACCTTCTTTGCCCCACCACCCGCCGCCTTTGTATCCTCTCCCGAGGTATCGATAATCTGAATGGTAAACACCGTGACTTCACCTTTACCCTTTTTCTTTGCCTTACACTTCTCAATCCAAACCGCCGCCCCCTTGATGAGTGCCTTCCACGCATCTTCATCATCCAACATCTTCGGACGGGGTTTTGGAGTCTTCGAGACATACGATGGGAGGTAGGCGATATCCGAGAGCAAGGATTTTCGTGTGCACATCGTAGTGGCCAGCTTGTCGAGGAAGGCATCAAATGTCGTCATCGAACTGATCTCTATGTCCCGAGACGCAGTTTTGCCAACCGGGACCTCAAAAGTGATGCTGAATTTATTTTTACGAGCGGCGGCGGCAGATGCTGGTGAGCTAGCAATTACTGTGGATGAAGTCAGGTGCCTGGATACAATACAAGACCCGACATTCATACCTGCACTATCCAAATCATCATTTTCCGAGTCCGAACCCAATTCAGAAGGCTCTTGGTCAATGCTGGACTCGGAATCACTCCCAGACTGCCCCTTCCCATCGCCTTTTTCCTCAAAGTCACCGACCGAAACCCCGGGAACTGCAGCTGCAAAGACATGATCCATTCGAGCCTTGAATTGAGGATCAGAGTCTTCGCGCAACGGCTGGCTTCCTGCACTGAGGGATACAAGGGTGGCGGCAGCAGCAGACTCCTCAGAGGGCAGTGGTGGGTGTACAGGAGGCGCTGGACCACGGATGGTGATGCGCCGAGGAAGAGGTCGCTGCGGCGGTGTAGACTCGGGAGCGGGGGCTTTGGCCTTTCGTGCGCCAGAATTGCGCTCCACCTTCTTTTTTTTCTTCTCCCTGTTCTTTTCAGTGCCCATGGGGAGTGCAAGACTCGAGCTGGTCTCGCGGTTCGGTGTGAAGAGTCAAAATGTTTTGATTTTGATACCGGTGGAAAACAAATGCTGCCCTGCACTTGATTTACAACACTCGAAGGCCTATTGTACCTGGGGCACCCTCGCAAACATGGAGAAGAACAACATATAGAAATTTGGTCGCGATACATGCAGTATTTACTGAGTTACGGCCGGCCGACGCGTTTTGACGGTGGCCTAAAAAGGATTTTTTTTGGTGGTCGACGCAGAGCTCAAGACCTGCAGGGGGCTGTAGTATTCGACAAGGCGATTCCAATGGTACCAAAATTTTGAAAATTCATTGCGTGGTTGTTGAGATACAAGCCGCTGAAGTTTCTACCGAAAAAGCGCAAAAAGTCACAAAAAGTCACATCCGCCAACTATTCTGAAAACGGCAATAATCACTGCTCGAGACATTAAACACAGAAAGTGAGCAAAGGGGGATTCGAACTCACGACCTCAAGGAAACAAAGCAGAAAGAGAGGAAGAGAGTATAACCACTACACCAGGCAAGCACTTCAGGCAGTGCAAATCTTTGAAACACAGCACACTGAGAACAACACCTGTATCACGGGGAACAATGTGTTGTCCTTTTCGATTTTAGGCCAGTGTGTCCTCGTACACGCTTCGACCATGTCCTTTTGCTAAACCCGGGTGCTTTGGCCTTTCGGGGTTTTCTGCGGGCACGCTGCAGCCACGCGTTCTCGGGGTTTGCCGGCAGAAAATGATCTAAATAGTGATTTTGCAGCTCTTGGGTTGAATTTTGGGTGGAATATTCCCGGACATAGCTGGGATCATGCAGTACTTGCCATAGTACAAGAAAATGCGAAACATGTGAGGGAGACCAAGCTAAAATCAGACGAGAACAGGTCCTGAATGTGAAGAATTTGCTCCTTGATTCTATTCCACTGGCCAATTGAAACAAAATTTGGTGGGAATGTCGTATACCACTCTCTAGTAACTTTTCAACTAATTTTTCAACAGACAGAAATGGTCCTGCAATGGTCGGTATAGAGGCACATCAAGAGGAGTGTGACAGTTGAAATCATGGGATCATGCAGTACTTGCCATAGTACAAGAAAATGCGAAACATGTGAGGGAGACCAAGCTAAAATCAGACGAGAACAGGTCCTGAATGTGAAGAATTTGCTCCTTGATTCTATTCCACTGGCCAATTGAAACAAAATTTGGTGGGAATGTCGTATACCACTCTCTAGTAACTTTTCAACTTTTCAATTTTTCAACAGACAGAAATGGTCCTGCAATGGTCGGTATAGAGGCACATCAAGAGGAGTGTGACAGTTGAAATCATGTCAAGTGCTGCCGGCGAGTTCCGGGCGGTCACACCAATGTTCAGACAGCCTTGAGCCAGCCATTTCATTCTCTTTTAATCTGAAAAAAATGTAGAATCATTCTATGGCAAGCAGCTTCACCTGTTCCCCTCACTTTTATGTGAACTGGATATGCTAAATGCAATAAAACTGGGAGTTATTTGTACTCGGGACATGTTCTTGGTCGGTTTTTGCATGTCCTCCTTCCATTCTTTGACACAATATTGTGCCTTATACCCATGACTATTTATTAGCCACATCCGAGAGGATCCGAACAAAAAATTCGCCCAAGAGCTGCAAAATCATTGTTTGGATCATTTTTCTGTCGGAAAACCCCGAAAACGCGTGGGTGCAGCGTGCCCGCGGAACACCCCGGAAGGCCAAAGCACCCGGGGTTAGCGAAAGGACATGGTCGAGGCGTGTGCGAGGACACGCTGGCCTAAAATCGAAAAGGACAACAGGTTGTCCGCCGTGTATAATTTCACTGAGCTGTGTGAGTGAAACACTGTAAGAATTGTGAGTGCCCAATCGGCTCCCCGGCACAATGTGGGGGCCTGCAGTACAGATACCCCAAGCATTGGCTCTAATACTGATACAATGTGTGCAAATAAATTACTAGACTGGAATACTAGTTGTGAGTGAAGAGTGGGACAGAGTACAATCACTACACCAACCAAGCACACCAGGCAATGCAAATTTTTGAAACACAGCACACACACTATTACTATGGCCAAGT